GAGAGAAATTGTGTTTGTACAAAAGTGTCCAGCTTAACAGCATTTGTTTATGAAACGTAGATAATTTTAAGGGTATTTTGGGAATACTGTAATTGCATCTAAGAAGAAAAGGTAAACCTCCAATTTTATTAAAGTTGTAAATTGGAATAGCATTCCATATAGAGATTTTTTAAATATTTAATTTTGAATGAATTATTTAAAGATATGAAGTCAAGAGCTTCAATTCCACCTTTTTCAACTTTATTCATTAAACTACTTTTCTTAATGAGATGGCATTTCTTTTTCAATATGAAGTTAAAATTTATTTTATTAATGTTAGTAATGATTTGTTTTGGAACGTCAAGAGCAAGGGCTGGGTAAACGAGTCTAGATATTCCTTCAGCTTTGACCAATAATGAACGTCCTAAGAGAGAGAGATCTCGCTGTAGCCACAGATTAAATCTTTGTTAACCAGTTTAATGATAGGGTTAAAGTTTTCTGTTGATCTTATATTTTGATCTTTAATTATTGTGATTCCAAGATATTTAACTTTATCTTTTATAGGAATGTTGAAAAATGTGCCTTTTAATTGAGATTTAATGGAAAGTGTTTCACATTTATTTAGATTTAGAGTTAAACCGGAAGCTTCGGAAAATGAGTTGATAATTTCAATAGATTTTTTTATTTCGCACTTATTCTTTAAGAAAAGTGCAGTGTCATCAGCGAGTTGAGAGATTACAATATTTTTGTTTGCAACATTAATCCCTGTTATTTTTTCTTTGATTTTGATAGAAAGAATTTGCATGGCCAGAATAAATAAGTATGGAGATACTGGACATCCTTGCCTGAGACCTCTTTTCAAATCAAATCTTTTAGAGCAGCCATGTGACAATTTTATAGACGCATTGCAATTCCTATATAACATTTGACAGCTTTTAATGAAGATTTGTTCGTATCCAAATACCTCTAATGCCTTAAACAAAAATGTATGCTCCACTGTGTCAAAGGCTTGAAAAAAATCCAGAAATAATATGAATTAAATCTGAATAATCTAGCAAATCCAATATAAGTCTAATATTGTTAGTTATATGTCTGCCTGGAATGAATCCAGATTGAGTTTCATCAATCACTTCTTCAAGAGTATTCTTAATTTTTGTAGCAATGCAACCTGCAATAATTTTATAATCATTTTGTAGTAATGTAATTGGTCACCAATTATCTAGAAGAAGCTTGTCTGTTTGTGGTTTAGGAATCAGTGTAATTAGGCGTTGGGTCATTGTAGGTGGAAGTGATCCAGAGTCCAAACTTTCAAGATAAACTTGAAGTAAAAATGGCGACAATTGCTCTGAAAACTTTTTATAGAATTCTGCATTGAGACCATCTGTCCCTGGAGATTTATTTAATTTTAATTTATTGATAGACTTTTGAATATCTTCAAGAGTGATCAGAGAATCACAATGGTCTTTATTAATTTTACTGATTTGATGCATATTATTCATCGAGTTAATAAATAGTGTAATAGTTTCATCAGAACACCGTGACTGATACAACTCTTTGAAAAAAGTTTCACAATAAGAAGAGATTTGAACAGGATCTTCAGTTATACTGTTATTAATTTGAAGTTTCATAATACTGTTAGACTTTTGGTGCTTTTTTTCTAACCTAAAAAAATAAGAAGAGTTTTTTTCTCCTTCTTCTAACCATTTCTGTCTCGACCTGACGTAGGCTCCTTTAGCTTTAGATGTGTAAATATTGTCCAGGTTCAACTGGAAATGGTTTAATCTAATCTTTTGTTCTTCAGATATATTTTCTAGTAGAACATTATTTAAAGAGATAATTTCTTTTATTATTTCTGATTCTATTTTTCTCTTTTTTTTTTTTAGCAAATTCAGCTCCAGTTTTCATAAAAATTTTCTGAAGTTCATATTTGAGGAGTTCCCAGTTTTTACTAAATTCCTTCTGGCTACAAGCTGTATTCCAATACTTAATAATTGTTTAATATTTTCTTCTACTGTTTTATCTTCTAACAGTGACGAATTGAGTTTCCATTAAGCTGTAATTTTATTTATTTAATTTAGTTTTTTCAATCAAAATTAGCTTGTGATCTGATAAAGGAGCTGGTAGAATATCCGACTTAATTTCATCTGTTATTAAATCAGATATCAACCAAAAGTCAATTCTTGATTGAAAGGAGCCCGATTTGTTTTGCCATGTGAATTCAATTTTTGAGCTATTTTTTTGTCTCCATACATCAATCAGGCCAAAGGTTGATATAAAGTCTTTAAGAGCTGTGTTTGTATTTATATCAGCCTTTGGAGGAAATCTGTCTAATGAATCATCAAGAGTTGAATTGAAGTCCCCACCAATAATAATATTCATATTATGATACTTGTCACATAGATAATTCACCCCGTTACTTAATCTATCATAAAGTTGCGTATTTTCTGCTTTGGTATTAAACCCATAGATAGAACCTAACAAAAAAATATTCATTTATTGATACAGCTAATGAAACAAAATGTCCATATGTATCTAAGAGTGAGCATAAAACATCTCCATTGAAGTTGTTTCGTAATATTGCCACTCCTGCTGATTGAGTAGTGCCATGTGCCAGCCATAATTCGTCCCCCATTGACTTTTCCAGAATTTGGTATCATTTGCAGTGGAATGAGTTTCTTGAATAAAACAGAAATCAGCTTTAAAATTTTTAAGATATAGGAAAGTTGCCTTTCTTTTAGTATTGTTTCTTAACCCTCGAGCATTAAGTGAAATAATTTTAAACATAAAATTGCTACTAAGAGTTGTAGCTACTAACCCTGAAAATTAAGTTGCAGGAAATCTTACAAATTCTCCCGTCCAAAAAATTAAATAATGAATGGAGCCTTTATAATATGTAAGTGTCATTACTTAACTGTTAGCTCTTTGTTTCAAAATGTCTTCTAGACATTACCAGGAACAAGTTCTTTTCTTTTTCCATCCCTGTCAATGACGAAGGCTTTGGGGCCAATGTAGAGGCTGTTTTCCCTTCTTCGTGTGCTTTTTTCACCAGTGGCCACAGCATGTTTCTTCCTGACGGTCCTCTGGAGAGAGGTCCTCCTTAAAGCGCAGGTTGCTTGACTTCAGGAAAGATGACTGCTTAGCCGCCTTCCATACCGTGTCCCTTAGTGTCTCATGGAGAACTGGATCATCACTTCTGAGGACGCCCTGTGCTTTTATTGCGACCCAGCCGATGTACGCTGTCGATGACGTCTGGCAGTTTTTCTGTGCATTCTGGCAAATGGAAATAACCTTTCTGCGAACATCTTCCCTTTCTTCTTCAGTTAATCCTGAAAGACGCAAGGTCCATCTTCTTTTATAACGTGAAAGCTCGAGCAGCTTGTTTTCCACCTGCAGCACCTTTTTACCGAGTTCTCCACTCTCCTGACGGTTTCAGTCATCTTTTCTTGCATTTCTTTCATTTCAGCATGAATATAATCCACAGAATCTTTTAGCTCATTTATGCTGGCTTGAAGACCGTCCGCTCTCTCATTTATCGTCGACTTTAAAGCTGCTATAATGTTTTCAGTGAGGTCCTGGTCCTCCGCCGACTTGTGACTTTTAGCCGACATTTTAGTTGGTGTACTTTCAATGCTCACGGATTTACGTTTACCACTAGCAGCCATTCTTTGAAGTCTTCGGAGTGTCTATTTGAACACAATATCTAGCAAAGGTCTCAAAATAAGTGTTTCCCTGTATTAAAGTAGCTATAAAGGCTCCTTATTAAAACATTCTTGGAAGAGCTTGTAAAGATCGACTACTCACGCCGCCATCTTGCCGGCTCCCATCTAGCTGCCTTATCTCACCGCGCGAGAGGCAAGTGCGTCGTGCGTCACGGGCAAAAGGTCAAAGGTAACAATGTGACCGGAGGGCTTATTGTGTTGTTTTTCTTGCAAAGTAATAATAATATAATAATAATAATAATAATAATAATAATAATTAATAAATAATAATAAATAATAAAAGTAATAATTGTAGTAGGCTACATGTGTAAGAAAAAAAAAAGACCAAAAGGGCACTTGAGGTCATGGAGCAAAAGGGGCAGGTGCTCCTGCACGCGCCTGGCTGGTTGCATTAAATAACAAAACAAAATCCTAAAGAAATAAAATACAAACTACTACTAACAATAGTATCACACATATATATGTGGGTTACATTTAGCTGAAGGGGAACCAGAAATGTTGGAAGTTAAACTCTGGAGCCAAAACACTGAGTTTATTTAAATGTAGATTAAAACCAAACATGGTCCAGACCTGCAAGGCTGTTTGATTCGGACCCGGGAAGTTGAGTCAGAACCATTTGGAGCCAGAAAGTAAATGGATCAGTTCTGGCATAAATTTTTCTCCAGAACATCTTGAGTCCAAATGCCTTTTCTTTAGTAGCAGCTGAAGCTAACATGAGGATTTACTGCATTTTCTCACAAAGTTTCTGTTTTTTCTGCTAAGAAACTTTTAATCCAAACATAAAATATGTAAAGTAGCTTCACTAAATAAAGCAGCATAATGACAAGAATAGATGATAATAAAATCAATAAACCTGGAAATAAAATAAAAAAGGTAAAATATGAGGACATGTATCTGTTTCATGGAATATTGATTGATATTTATTGATATAATTTAGAATGAAACGCTTCCTGTGTAGAACATCAACACTAATTTAATATCTGATAGATCCAGAACCAGGTGATCCAGAACCGGTTCTGGTTCCATCAGCTCCTCATCCTGACCTTCTATCAGGATCAACCAATCAGAATCAGATGAACTGATCCAGATCATGTTACCAGGGCAACCAGCTCCACCAATCAGATCTCTTCTAGTCAAACTGAGTCAACCAGGTTTCCTGTTAATGAAACTCAGATTTAATGGAAAATCATCTGATTATGAAAATATTCTGTTATTATAATTCTGTTATTATAATTCTGTTATTATAATTCTGTTATTATAATTCTGTTATTATAATTCCTCCATCTTCATTTGTCTCCACAGAACCGTTTCCAGTCTGGGTCATAGTTCTACTGGTTCTACTGGTTCTACTGGGTCTGGCTGCTGCTGCACTTTATTTCTTGTTCCATTGGAGTCCAGGTGAGTCTCTAGAACTGCATTACCCATAATGCCTTTGGTCAGTGTCTGCTGTCCTCCAGAGCAGGACTGAAGAAAAGGAAGTCAAACAGGAAGGGGGAGGGACTACTGCCAGTCTCAGACCTTATATGGAAATGGGACCATTGCACTCTGGAAGTGAAGGGGCGCTGTTTCCTATATTATCCTCCCATTTTTATGTATTGTATTTGATCTCTCTTTTATTTACTTTAGTTCATAGTTTTAACAGATTCTGTAGCTTTCTGTGTTCAGGTAAATCACCTGAGTGAAGTTGGCCCCCCCACCTTCTTCAAATCAGACAAAATTGGTGTCAATCAACTCGGCTGCGTTTGTGCTGGTTTGTGCAGCAAAAATTTTCGTTTGTACTGCTATTATTCTGAAGATATTAAGAAAAATATTCTCCAGGGTCATCAGAGGTCAACCGCTCCCCTGGCCCTACTCACATTTGGAAACATAAATAAATTTGGTGTCAATCAACTGTGCTATGTTTGTGCAGGACATTTTTAAAATTTATACTGGTATTACAAATTATAGCAATATAAACTATTATTAATAATATAAATAATAAGGTCATCAAAGGTCAACCAACTCCCTTGTCAAGGTAGTCAAACTATCAAGGTCTGTGCTGTGCTTTCTGTGACAGTGTTTCTGTTCAGAATGTGCTAAAAAGTACAGAAAAAAATAAAGCTTCCCATTTTACCTAATTTGAAGAAGTTAGGGGAGCTACATCCTTAAGAAAATGAAAAAAACATGGAGTTTTATAATTTATCTTTTACAGAACTAGGAATATTAGTACCAGGAGCTCCTGGTGCATTGTGGGCCAGCGGCTCCTGGTGCATTGTGGGCCAGCGGCTCCTGGTGCATTGTGGGTCAGCGGCTCCTGGTGCATTGTGGGCCAGCAGCCCACATTGTGGGTGCATTGTGGGCCAGTGGCTCCTGGTGCATTGTGGGTCAGCGGCTCCTGGTGCATTGTGGGTCAGGTCTCAGCAGTTTCCTGCCTGACTGGGGAGAGGAGTTTGGTGTGTTGCTGCAGGCAGCAGCTGGTTCCTCTTAGACATGGACTCATGTCTCTGTCCTCAGAGTCCTGCAGGAGACACAGAGTCATGTGACCATCAGAGCTGCTGCTGTCTGTCCAGCTCATTTTGTCCTCTGTTGTCTCTCAGTCCAACAGGTGGAGGTGGAATCAGGGGAGAAGTTTGTCCTGCTGCCCTTGAAAGTCCCACGCTGCCTCTGGGTCTGTAAATACAGACGGTCTGTGGATAAAGTGGAGTGGAAGGACGAAGACGACAAGACGGTCCATGTGTATCAGAACGGTTCTGATCAGCCTGGAGAACAGAACCAGATCTACAAAGACAGAACCAAGATGGATGAAAACCTGCTGGAGACTAAAGACCTCAGTCTGACTCTTGAATGGCCCAGATATGGAGACAGTAAGATCTTCACCTGCAGCGTTTATAACAGGAATGGAGACAAACTGATGAAGAAAGACGTCTGGCTAAAGGTCAAAGGTCAGTGGTTTAAATCTACTTTTAGAGGAACTGTTTGGATCAGAACCATGTCCATCTTTTCTCTCTGTTTGAACTGGGTCGGTTCTGGTTCTGGTCGGTTCTAATTGACATTTAGCTGGTTCTGGTTCTGAACCATTTAACCCCTGACCTCCATCAGAACCCTGGATCCCTTCAGAACCCAGTAGAACCAGTCCTCAGAGATTCAGAACCTCCAGGTCCAGGTGAAGGTTCTGGACCTCTGCTCGGCTCCAGAACCAGCTGGGTCCAGTAGCTCCATCAACCTGACCAGAACTCAGAGTAGGCCTGTCACGATAACAGATTTTTCTGGGCAATTAATTGTCTCAAAAATTATTGCGATAAGCGATAATATTGTTTGAAGACCTTTTTACATTGATTTAATGGAAATTACATAATAATACATGCGATTTCCTGCCAAAGACAGAAACACTTTACTTTCAAAAGACACTTAACACTGGGACTGATACACAAAATAAATAACACAACCAAAATAAAATAGATTCTTAGTCTCAATTTACAATAAATGAATAAAAACTAAACAACATGAAGCCAAAATGGAAATAAACACTGCATTCAACCAAAAGAGTGTAGATTATGAAGTCTGTATAGTTTATTGCCCTTCAGTGATAATTAGATTTAAATAGAGAAGAATCCGACTGAATGATGCAATAGTTCAAACTACAGGATTTTTTACCCCGAACGACAATCTTAGAGATCCATTGTTGGACACAACACGGTTCGATCGAACCGTTATAGCTAGGATTCTGTCGGCTAATGTGTCTCTCAGGTTTTGGTAATGGGCCGACATTAGATGGTGCAGCGCGCGCTGGGCATTAGACTAAGAAATAAGGAAGGGAGGGTCAGTGGAGAGCACCGGAGCTGAGCCTTTTTTCATTCAGTGTCATCAACAGTAAGAGATGACACGATATAGCCGATAATTAAAATGACATCGATAGTTTTAACTTATCGTTCGATTAATTGGGTTATCGTTTATCGCGACAGGCCTAACTCAGAACTTCATGTCCATGAGGACTGAAGGACGTCCTGATGTGGGACAGAACCAGAACCCAGACAGAACCGGCCCCAGTCCAACTGGACCTTCTGTCTCCAACAGAGGACAGGAAGTTCTGAAGTTCTGCTTCCTGTCCTCTGCTGGTCTCCAGGGCGACGTGTCCTCGTCTCTCTGCCAGTCAGAGTCCAACTGGAGGCAAACGATGGACAGACGGGACCAGAGTCCAGCTGCTGCTGGGGACAGTCTGCAGCTTCCTGCTGTCCTCATGAGGACATTCTGTCCACCTGCTGCTGGTTGGACTCAGCAGAGACACCAGTGGAGACTGGAACCAGACTGGAACCAGTCCAGCATGTTGGACTGGTTCCAGTCTGAGGAAATGTCCTCAGAGCTGCTGCTGTCTGTCCAGATCATCTTGTCCTCTGTTGTCTTTCAGTCCCAAAGGTGGAGGTGAAATCAGGGAAGGAGTCTGTCCTGCTGCCCTGGAGAATCACAGAGAGGCTGGATGGAGGCGTTAAGGTGGAGTGGAAGGACGAAGACAACAGGACGGTCCATGTGTATCAGAACGGTTCTGATCAGCCTGGAGAACAGAACCAGATCTACAGAACCAGAACCAAGATGGATGAAAACCTGCTGAAGAATAAAAACCTCAGTCTGACTCTGAAACGACCCAAAGAGAGAGACAGAGGGTTTTACACCTGCAGCGTTTATAACAGAGACGGAGACATGCTGATGGAGAAACGAGTTCTGCTCTGGGTCAAAGGTCAGTAGTTTAAAGGTTCTGATTGGTTCTGATCAATACTGATGGTTGTCTGATTAGAAGGTCAAAGGTCAGTGTAATGAGTGATGAAGCTGAGGAAGCAGCAGGAGGAAGAGGTCCAGGACAGACGGGACCAGAGTCCAGCTGCTGCTGGGGACAGTCTGCAGCTTCCTGCTGTCCTCATGAGGACATTCTGTCCACCTGCTGCTGGTTGGACTCAGCAGAGACACCAGTGGAGACTGGAACCAGACTGGAACCAGTCCAGCATGTTGGACTGGTTCCAGTCTGAGGAAATGTCCTCAGAGCTGCTGCTGTCTGTCCAGCTCATCTTGTCCTCTGTTGTCTCTCAGTCCCAGAACAGGTGGTGGTGGAACCAGGGAAGGAGTCTGTCCTGCTGCCCTGGAGAATCACAGAGAGTCTGGATGGAGACGTTAAGGTGGAGTGGAAGGACAAAGACGACAGGACGGTCCATGTTTATCAGAACGGTTCTGATCAGCTTGGAGAACAGGACCAGATCTACAGAACCAGAACCAGGATGGATGAAGATCCACTGAGAACTGGAGACCTCAGTCTGACTCTGTTGTGGCCCATATTTAAAGACGAAGGGATCTACACCTGCAGCGTTCTCAGAGACGGAGACATGCTGATGGAGAAACGAGTTCTGCTCTGGGTCAAAGGTCAGTAGTTTAAAGGTTCTGATTGGTTCTGATCAATACTGATGGTTCTCTGATTAGAAGGTCAAAGGTCAGTGTAATGAGTGATGAAGCTGAGGAAGCAGCAGGAGGAAGAGGTCCAGGACCGACGGGACCAGAGTCCAGCTGCTGCTGGGGACAGTCTGCAGCTTCCTGCTGTCCTCATGAGGACATTCTGTCCACCTGCTGCTGGTTGGACTCAGCAGAGACACCAGTGGAGACTGGAACCAGACTGGAACCAGTCCATCATGTTGGACTGGTTCCAGTCTGAGGAAATGTCCTCAGAGCTGCTGCTGTCTGTCCAGATCATCTTGTCCTCTGTTGTCTCTCAGTCCCAAAGGTGGAGGTGGAATCAGGGGTGGAGTCTGTCCTGCTGCCCTGGAGAATCACAGAGAGGCTGGATGGAGGCGTTAAGGTGGAGTGGAAGGACGAAGACAACAAGAAGGTCCATGTGTATCAGAACGGTTCTGATCAGCCTGGAGAACAGGACCAGAAATACAGAACCAGAACCAAGATGGATGGAAACGCACTGAAGAATAAAAACCTCAGTCTGACTCTGACATGTCCCACATTTAGAGACACAGGGACCTACACCTGCAGCGTTTATAACAGAGACGGAGACATGCTGATGAGGAAACAAGTTAGTCTCCAGGTCAAAGGTCAGTGGTTTAAATGTATTTTTCCAATAAGCTGATTGGTTCTGATCAATAGTGATGGTTTACTAATAAGAAGGTCCAAAGGTCAATGTGATGAAGATGAGGAAGCAGAGCAGGAGGAAGAGGTCCAGGTTGTTTCTCCCAGCAGAACCTTCTGGTTCTGGTTCTGGTTCTGTTAGTAGGAGGAGATGAATCAGAGGAAATAAACAGTAAAAAGAGGAGAGAGAGCAGCTGGAAGAACAACCAGGAAGGTGGAGAGAGAAAAATTAGAGCTGCAGTCGGGTTCTGGAGGTTCTGCCTCCATCTTTCTCCACCCAGACAGAATCAAACCTCCTCCTCTGATTCTGATCAATAAGTAGCATTGATCAATACTCTATAGTTGGGCTTTGTCCTGTGATGGACGGGTTGCCAGTTCTAATCCGTCTCAGCTGTTGTCCTTTGACTAGACCGTTCTTCTCTGTCAGACTGATGCTAATGTCTGGTAGCCACCAGAGCAGCTGTAGCTACTGCAGCAGCTCAGCACCTGATTGGCTGAATGACTGAATGTAGAGAGAAGCTTTGGAGTCGTCTGACTTGATCAGTTCAGATCCATTGATTTATTGATCAGCATCTGGTTGATGCTGCTGGATTGTGTCTGACTGTCCTCTGTCTCCTCATCAGGGAGATTCCAGGTCCAACCAGAGACACCAGGACCAGAGGACACCAGGACCAGAAGCAACTCTATTGATCCATCTCCTCTAATGGGTGATCAATCAGTCTGATCAGGTTGATCATCTCTGATTATTGATCCAGTCAGACTTTGGATCAGAGCCGATCTCAGTGAAGGTTCTGATGGACCAACAGAGGACACTTCCTGGTCTTCTGGTCCAGTCTACAGCCGGTTATTGATCACTATTGATTATTGATGACAGAATGAAGATCTGAAGGAACTGAATCATTTCTGCTGCCTGAGGAACCAGTTCATGATCCATCAGGGAGAAGAACTGTTCAGTTTGACCCAGAACCTCCTGATCATCATCATTTTCTCATCAGACCCAGAACATGGCTCTTTAGTTTCAAGCTGCACTGATTGTAATTTTCTGGCCGATTATAAATCTTTAAATCTGACCTGCTGGTTCTAATTTTGGCCTCGTTTTCGTCTGAAATGTTGCTACATAGAGGAAGAAAGTTGCTGAGTCTGCAACAGACAGTTAACTGCAGACATTGACCTCTGATCCGGTGGGCCGGTCTGTCAGTCAGACGTCTCTCTGATGAGGTCAGAGGTCGATTTCTAGACCTTCACAGAGGAAGATAATTTCAGTTTCATGTCTAAATATCGGCTGATCGGCTGAAAGGAAACCAGATGAAATGATTTATTGTTTCGCCTCGTTTTACCAAAGAAAACCTGGAAATATTTTGTGTTTATGGAAAGTCCAGTTATTGCATTTATTAATCTTTATTACATTATAATGCAGACAGATTATTCTAGTCCTGGATTATAATCTGACTCTGAAATCATCCTAAAGTGTCCATTTGGTTTCTGTATGAATCCTGCCTTATTAATGTTTTCATTATTAATAATAGAAGCTTCTTTATTTCACTTTTTATTTGAAACATAATCTGATTGTAAAACTGAAGACCTACTAACACCATAAAGTATTATTTTATATAAAATCCAGAATTTGAACAGATTTCTGTTCAGTAAATGTTTTAATTTCTGACTGAAATATTTTATTCTCATTTTATTCATTTGTTACATTTTTGCTTTCCTGTTACTGTGAAAACCTCTGATCTCATTTATTACTAAAATATCATGAAATAATTGATCACTGATATAATTAATCAATATATTTAGTCAGCTGAAGCTCTAGAATGAGTTTTTCTATCATGTTACTATTTACAGTGTTTATATTCTATGCTTGTATATCTACTATAATAATCTTTCATGCTTGTATTTTTGATTTCTCGTGAATCTTTAGATTAATATTAAATCTTAAGATATTAAATCTTTAGATTAATATTAAATCTTTAGATATTAAATCTTTAGATTAATATTAAATCTTTAGATATTAAATCTTTAGATTAATATTAAATCTTTAGATATTAAATCTTTAGATTAATATTAAATCTTTAGATTGATATTAAATCTTCTCGTTGCTTTAAGGCTCAGTGAATCTTCCTGGTTTTTCTTTGCTGGTTTTATTTTCAGTCGGGATGAAAAAATGTTTTTATTTTAAATCTTTATGGATGTTTCCTGAATCTGCAGAATCAAATTGATAATCATTTGAATTATTGATCCATTCTAATTTTCGCTCAGCTGATCCCTAATAACAGATGAACTGATTGGTACTGAAGGTTAATCAATACTTATTTAATCATAAATATCTATTCACTGGCTGAATCCATGGCATCAGGGGAGCTCAAACTTTTTGAGACCAAGATCTACTTTTTCTCTACCAGCCGGCTGAGATCTACCTCATGACATGAAGACATAGAAATTATAAATAAAACCCTGTTGACTCATTTTCTATACTAATATATATCCATCAGTTATATCAGAAATGATAAAGTGATAGAAAACCTAATGCAGTTTCTTCCTCAGTGAGATTCTGACACTGGGATCAGGTTACTGGTTTCAGCAGGTTACTGGTTTCTCAGTCAGAAGCTGGTTGCAAACCTGAGACCAGCAGGTGTTGGTCAGTTATGGTGAATCTGAAATTTGGTTTGATGACGTCACTATGAGAAACTGCAGACTGATAGGAGGAACCAAAGAGCTCTGCAGAGGTAAAGGCAAATCTTCTGAATTTGGGATATAATTAATGTAATTTGACACAATTATTGTGGTAGAAGCCATTTGTTTGTTAAAATTTAATCAAATATATTTGTCCTATTTGATGTTGGTTGTGACGTTTACTGCAAACGAACGAGGTCATCAGTACAAGTCTGTCGTTTATTGAACGTTCAGAAACTCCAGCGGCTGTGATGAACCACAGCGAAGGAAAACAAAGGTAGAATAACCCGAACAGGTGATCAACTCAGAACCTCTCGCACCTTTTTACTCTCTCTTTCTTTATTGTTAAGCACACCCGTTGCTGTGGCAACCGCCTGCGCCCCGCAAGCCGAGCAAAGATTACATTAAAAACGTTCAGTCCGTTACATATCAGGTTTCAGGCTTTATTATTATTTAATGAAGCTACAAACGTTTTGGATCTTAGTGAATATTTTGATAAGCCTGTCAGAAGAGGAAGTGCTGCTCTCAGCGTCCTGCAGAGATCCACTCAAACCTGATGCAGATCGACCGGTAGATCACGATCAACGTATTGAGCACCCCTGATCTACAGAGTTTATATTAATATATATAAAACCTGGAATCAGATTCCAGGTTTTATAGATTTTTTTAGTTTAAAATGAAAATATTTCCAAATCTTTGTTTTCTGTATTTATTTTATCATTCATTGATTGGATCTGAATCCAAAGTCCAACTAAATCCAAACTAAATCTTCTGGTTGGTTCTGAGATCCGACAGAAAAACCAAAAACATCCAGATTTCCCCAAATTAAATCCTCAAACAGAAACTCAGGAAGTTTTCATTCTTTCTGTAAATGTTTTAGTTTTTAATCTCATTTTATTTGTTTCTGCAGGTTTTGTTCAACATTTCTGCTAAAATGCCAGGATGTGTTTTAATAACAAACAATAAATTGTAAAAACTTTCTTCTGTTTTGTTTGAATTCATTTATTGACTTTTTCTTGCAGCGACTTTTTTAAATCTGATTCTTAAATTATTTTATTTTTCATCACATTTTAAACTGCAGAGTAAAATATCTCCAACACTTTATAATTTTATTGATTTCAGGCTGATTCTGTTTCCACTCAAATTTCAGAATAAAAGCATCAGTGAGTTTAATGTTTCTGTTCTTGGTCATAATTTATCATTTTACTGAGATTTTCACAATAAAATCCTTTAAAATTTCCTTCGTTCATGTTAAAATTATGAACTGAACCAGTTTGATGTTTTGTTTCCCATCAATTATTGAATTCAGTAAAAGATTAAATACATTTTGATGTTTGAACTTTGACCTGCCGTCGTTCCCAAGAACACAGAACATTTTTATTATTAACTTATTGTTCTTATTAAATTAATATGGTTTGAATATTTACTTAGGATGTTGAATGCTTATAAAAATAATCATAAGATTATTTTTATATATATAATATTAACCAAAATAATATAAATGACTGTTTAAATAAATCACTAATAGATTAATAGTAAATATTAACAGTAAATAAATACATGTTGTGAAGAGAAAATGTTTATCTTTCTTCAGTGTTTGGTGGAAAATATTATTTCACTGTTATTTTATTAATGTGGATAATCTGCCTTCCTATCAGGCTATAAGCATGAAGGCTACATGCTAACCAATGCTACATGCTAACCAATGCTACATACTAACCAAGGCTACATGCTATCCAATGCTACATGCTAACCAAGGCTACATGCTATCATGCATCAGAACCTGCAGCCCAGAGGCGGTTCTGACCCAGCAGGCTCTTTGGTTCATTTAAATAAAATATTGTCCTGGTTTTTATTTCATTATTTTTCAATTGGCCTCCAGGTGGTTCTGGACCAGAACCAGAACTGAACCCGACTCCTTGGTATTAATCTGTAAAATATCAGCATTTTATAGAACTTTCTTTTGGCTGTTTGATTTAAAATATTAAATCATGTTATGATCAGTTACTCACTTCTTGAGTTCTTTACTTTTCACTCTTGCGTATTTAAATCACATGTTTCCAGGTGAAAGCAGGTCAGTTTAACTTCCTGATGTTCCTCACAGCAGAGCAGCAGGTTGGTTCTGGTTGGACCTTCACATTCAGTTCAGGTTCTGCTGGTTCTGACCGGATCCTGGTAGAAACGGAGCCGTTATCTGCAGAACGGCTCAGAGCTGCACATCACGGCTCTGCTTGAGTTTTTACCAACTTAACATTATTTTACCTTATAAAATGTGATTATTTGAATCTAGCAGCAGTTAAAAGATCATAATGTAAAACTGAACCACATCAGATGTGAGACCTGAAACCGTTTAGATTAGTTTAAAATGGATCAGAACAGGAATAAACAGAATCAGGTTATGAATCAGGTTATGTAAATAGTTACAAAATGTTTGTTTTCAGGTGTAAAATGAGAAAAGAGTTTTAATCCATCATTAAATCTTTATTCCATGAATCTGATCTAAAACCTGTTAACAGAAACAAGCAGAGAACAGAAACTGATCCGAAGCATCGAGGTTCACATCTCTTCACAAACCCACTTTATGCTAAACGGCCTGCCATACCGGAGCCGCCCTGCCGAGCTGAGAGGAGAGAAAACAACCATGACGTCACCGTGAAACATGGACATGTCTCTGGTTCCCATAGAAACAGAGACATGTTCATGTCCGCATCAAGCAACAAACTGGAATCTGATCCAACATGAACCTCCTTTAACATCCAGCAGAGATCTTCAGACTTTAACTAGGACATAAAGACGGACAACGCCCAGATCTCCGAGGAGCTCACTGCGCATGTCCGGGTTCTGCGCTTCTTGGAAATCACGTGACTTCAGTAGAAATGAAACTGAGTTTATTTATAAAGTTTTCTTCATCTGATCTGTTGAAACTCATCAGGTTGAATCTGGAAGCAGAAAAACAACCAACTGGAATCTGTTCATGCTGACGTCACCGGGACCAGTTTAATGTCACTGGAACCAGTTTAACGTCACTGGGACCAGTTTAACGTCACTGGGACCAGTTTAATGTAACTGGAACCAGTTTAATGTCACTGGGACCAGTTAACGTCAGAAAATTCAAACTGGATTCCAGAAAACTGATGTAAACTTTCATTATTTACATTTTGCTTCCTGTCGGATCCAGATTCAGATTATTATAAAGTAGTAAACATGTGACGTCATGTAACGGGAGCCTGCTGCTGCAGTCTTCCCATAGACCGATACTGCCACCTTGTGGCCAGAGATGAACACTGCGCCCTGTTGTTCTGGAGGATCTCAGGGTTTAATGGTTTGAGCTTCCAGTGAAAAGTTTATGAATCAAACTAGAAATGAAAAACCATCAGGATGAACTGGTCTATGATGTCACTCCTCTCAGAGGGGGCGGAGCCTCAGGTCATCATCAGGTCATCATCAGGTCATCATCAGGTCATCATCAGGTTTATTGATGGATTATTGATCCTCTGGTTGATCAGACATGATGCCTTTAACTCACTGATGGTTGATGGTGGAAACATGAAGGATTCTTAAAGCTGCAGCTCAGAGGAACCAACTGGATCTAAACCAGTGAAATCCTTCAGTCTGATCCAGGCAGAGTCACTGGGAGAACTGGAGTCCAGATCCACTGGGACTGGGCAGATATCAATGATATCAATGATTGATCATCAATTTATCATCAGAAAGTAATCATCCAAGTTTAATCAGTTTAAAGTCGCCTGGTAAGCGTTTTGGTCACTTTGTAGGAAAATGTTGTTTATTGTTTATTTTGTTCTGCAGAATAAAGTCAAATTAAACTTTAAGACAGAATAAAGACAGTATAAAGACAGTAAACAGCCTGGCAGAGCTAAGACTGATTAGATCCAGTTAACTCAGAGATAAACTGGATCCAGATTAAACATCTGAATGAATTTAAAACTGGTTTGAATGAATCCTGATCAAAATGATCCATTAAACCTCCAGAATAAAAACCCAACAATCCTCAGAAATAAAAGTTCTGGTTATGATTTACATCCAAATCAACATATTAAAGATGTTATTAATAATTTTCTACAATCTCTTGGTTCTGATTTTCATCCTCTGGACTCAGATATTTGATTCATTGTTTAGAACCAGAAGCTTAAATCTGATTGAACCTTTAATTTATTTAATCAATTAATGAAGCAAAATTATTAAATATTTGCATATTTTCATGCAACTGAAAGACAAACCAGGCATCTCTGCATCCTGACAGTCTGCCAGCCTTCATCATCATCATCATCATCATCATCATCATCTGGTTCTGATCCATCTCGTCTTTCATTATTTAGCTTATGCTAACTAAGCATCACTGAGCCTTCCTGTTAGCAGGAGCGTCACATGAAGGTCACATGAGCAGTGACATCACTTCCTGTCCAGACCTGATGAACGACTCCTGGCTTCAGTGAGAATCATCTGTTCTCCATGTTGAGGTTTTGATGTTTGAGGCTGAAGAATCAATGAGATTCATTATTAATACCAAAATGCAGCTGATCCATCTGACATGCTAGCATTAGCAGCTAACAGACAAAATGGCTCCCAGGATCAGTTTGTGATCTCCTTTGTTCCCTCTATCTAAGCTCCGCCCTCAACAGGAATTACGTCACTTCCTGTAACATCAGACACATTATTTCCTTTATCTTTAGCTTTAGCTTTGCAACTAGCTAAAAGAGATAGAAGGAAAACACAGAATTATTTAACACTTTAATAATTCATATTTGGAATAAATTATTTTCTGTAAGTAAAAACACAAATAAAGTGAATTTTTATATTTTCTGTTTATTTTTTCTTCATATGAACAAAAACAAAAATCTGCTTTGCTCTATAAGTTCAGATTCAACAAAGATCACAGAAGAGAAAGAATAATATTTATGTAAAAACTGAGCTGCATGTGAATCAGATGAGATTTGACCTTTGACCTTTAGCTCCTCCCACCATCAGGTCAGGTGACCCTCTAAATCTGAACTCTGTAACATGTTGACTCCTGTTATCATCTAATATAATCTGTTTGTATGATTTTCATTGTAAGTCAAAATCAAATGTATTTAAATTTAGTTTAGAAATCAGAAAACATTCTTAGATAATCCATAAAACTTGAAAGAAAATCATAAACTTATGATTATCTGAAAATGTTTCTGGTTTTTCTCTAACAAACTGAGGAAACCAGAAACTGAACATCTGGATTAAAATCATATCTATAAAATGTTTTTACCAATAAAATGACTTCATGCTGTTTGATAGATTTTATTCAGGGATTTCAAAAAGCTGAATACAAATACATGCCGCACTTTTCAGATTATTTATAAAAACATTTTAAAACCATAATTTTTCTTCCACTTATTATGCAATAATAAAACAGAAAATAGTTCAAAATAAATGTAGGTCATTTTCAGCAGCTGCATTTTGTGATTATTGATTTATAATTGACTTATTTTGAAGGGACATTTCAAACATTTTCCAACTGAAATACATTTCTAAAAAGTTGTTCTTGTGGTTTATTTTTAATTTAACAAATTAAGACAAACAGAATAAAAGTAAAGAACCAACAAAACCAGAATAAACTGGACTATTTATCTAATATTGATGTTCAGAGACTCTGAATTTAACATGAACTAGTTTATTGCAGATTTCTTTAGATGAAATCAATAAACAATCTGAAGAATCTGCTTTGCTTTGACACCTTGAGGGATTTTTATTTTTTTAGTTTTAACAGGTTTGTTCTGCGGTTTCAGTTCAGTTTTTCTCACCTGCTGCTGTGAATAAAAGTTTCCACTGGTGAACCACAGACAGAGAAACAGAAACATCATGTTAGCAACAAGCTGCAGAACCGCAGCTTAAACCAGTTAAACATGTTATACTGGTTAAACTGGTTAAACAATGGATCTGCTGAGGTTTTCAGATGTTTCCAATAAAAACAGTGAATTACTGAAACATGAGTCTGAAACATTAAATACATTCATTTGGTTCAATATTCACCAGGAGTTGATGGATGGTTCTGTGCTTTAACTAGACCGCTGGCGGTTCCTGCTGGACCTGGAGGATTACCTCAGGGTGGAATAAACTACTTTTGGTTCTGGTTTGTGATCTGAAAAGAAAAACATGAAATTAAACCAAACTGAAGCTGAACTGCTTTGGTTTGTAGGAGAATCGACTGGAATGGAAACGATTCAGTTTATGAGTCTGAACTGAAATGACTGTAAATAAAATAAACCATTTATTTTAAGCATCATAGAAACATCATGTTATCTCATTTATTCATATGTTATCAATATGAATAAATGAACTGAAACTGAATCTATAATCATCTCTTGATGTTTTTTAGCTTCATTTGTGTAAATTTGTAGATTTTTCCATGAACTTTCCAGAATAACTGGTTGGTTTATTTTCAGGCTGTTTCTTGTTGGTCCTTCAGTTCAAGCAGCTTTGATGCAAATGTTTTATTTTAAAGTTTATAATTTAATTTATTATCATTAATAAGAGCAGGAATCAGATGCACAATGCTTTTATTTTGTAACAGGAAGCAGCATTTTTATAAATCTGTATAAAATAATTAGATTTTCTGCCTTTCTGACTGAATCCAGTTTCATTCTTCAGTGTTTTGTTTCCATTTCAGATGAAAGATCTGTATTGATTAGTGATCAGTTATGTATTTGGAGAAGTTTTACCTCTTTTGGTTTCTCTGATGATGATCTGTCCATAACTGACTTCATCTGTCGCCACCGTGGAAACCACTGCAGACGGATCAATTTCTGAAAAATTAAAACAATCGATATGATCAGCATTAACTGAAGCTTGTGATCAATACATTTGATAGGTTTATCAATAAGCAATCAGTGAATTTGTTACTTAAAGTATTTAAACTGTTAATAAGTTAAAATATTTTGGAAACATGTTTATTGATCATGTTTATTGATCATGTTTATTGATCATGTTTATTGATCATCATATGTGATCAGAAGCTGCTGTGTGACTTCTCTCTATATTGTTTTATAAAACATCACCAGGCAGATAATCAGGAAACAATAAATCAATATTTGGTCATTTATATCTGATGATGCAGCAACATAACATAATATTTTATTCAAATGATGAAATGACCAAATCAAAGCTGCTGAGGTCAAAGTTCAGCTTTAGGTTAAAACTAAACATGAAGTTATTGACTTTAACATATTTAAAATGTGATTTTATTATTATAGTTTAATGTTAAATAATATTTAAATGTAAACTTTACTGCTAGACGTTTCTCCTCTTTCTCTTCAGCTCTGCTGAGAATATTTAATGTTCAGACATCATGTTATTATTTATGATAATTATCATTTATATCTCTGGTTTCTAAATGCATTTAAATTAGAATGAATTCAAATAAACGGAGAAAAAGTCCAGTTTGTTAATATTCATCCCATAAATGATCAGCTGATCCGTCACCATAACCGAGGAAACTTTAACTAGACCAGAAGGTTTTTGGTTTCATTCATACAGGTCTGAGTCCTTCAGTCGTTATGAAAATGATCTGTTTATAAAATGATCTGTTTATAAAATGACTTGAAAGAAATTTGAGTTTGTAATTTGAAGCCTTAAAATTGGCCTCTGTCTCTTTAAGAAGCTCCTAATCTTTCCTTCATCACAATGCTCCTCCATGATGCCTCTGAAGCTGTTTAAGGAGCATTTCTCTGAGCTCCTATAACCAGCTCAGCAGTTCCAGCAGGTGTTTGCTAATTGCTGCTGGCTAGTCTGAAGGAGCTGCTCTGGAAACTGGAGCTGAAGGGAGGAGCAGCAGCCAGGGAGGCGGGGCTTGGTCCGCCCAGGTGAATGGTTGCCATGGAGATAGTGAAGGAAAAACTTTATAATATGATGTGAAGCTAAAAATGATTTTATATGATTCTTTCAATAGACTTTGGTTCAGGACTGAAGCATAAAAACATTTTGTTTATGTGAAGCTTCCTGTTGTATCTGTGACCAAACAGCTGATATGAGTTCATGAGACTTATGATAAAATCAATCTGTGGTTACAGTTTGAAACGTAATCAAAGGTCTGATGGATCAGATGGATCCATCTGATCCATCAGATCATCATTTGTTTCCATTCGCTGGTCAGAGGTCAGAGGTCAGCAGGTTTTCCCATCAGGTTTGTGATTCACAGATCAAAACCTTTGATTGGAAACATGAGAGACTTTTAATGTGAAGTTTCTAAATGATCATGTCCTGCTTTCTGCAGATCAGGAGGCGTCGGCCTCAGCTCAGCGTATGTTCTCTTGTTTCTCCCATTTGAAGAGTTTTCTTGTTGCTCATGAACTGCATTAAAGTTTGTAGTGAGCAGAAACACCAACCAGCAGTTCAAGGCCTTCAGTTGATCTGCTGATGCAGCAGCTGCCCTCTGACCTTCGTCTCTCTGGTTCCCTCAGGTCAGTGCGCTGCCTTGCTCATTAACCGGAGGGAACCTGAGACTCGTTCCACTGAGGCCTGAAGACCTGAGCGTCTTTAAACGCCTCCTGATCCATTAGAGCAATGGAAACACACCAGTAACAGAGCACACCGCCAGTAGGAGGCCAACTGGGTTAACAACTAAAGATATGAAGTTCATAAAGTTAAGAACTAAAGGTTGATGTTTGCTGAATGTTGCTGCAGTAAAACTCAGGCCTCTCGTTCAGGTCTGGCAGCCAGGAGTGCCAGGCTTTGTGGAGAGCAAGGTAAGTCATGAGAACATGTCTGACTCTCAGCAGCGGAAACCACAAAGCATTTCACCTCTGATCACTCGATGTCACACGTTCACATCAAAGCCAGACGCAAACAGTTTCTCAACAGAACCAGCAGCGACGAGTCCAAACCACAGAGCGACAAACCGCTGAGGTTCAACGCTGCTGCTGGCCCACATCGCGTGAGAAGGTCACATGACCCACTGCCCGACAGAACCGGGTCAGAACACCGAGATACTGAGTCAGTAAATAGAGATACTGGATCAATACATAGAGATACTGGATCAATACATGGAGATACTGGATCAATAAATAGAGACAATGGATCAATAAACACCAATAAGACAAGAATAACTTTATTAATGCTAAATATTTTTCTACTGGTGAAAATTTAACCTTAATGAGAAATAAAACTTTATTTTATTTTATTTCTGTTATGTGGAGAAAATCCTATGAAAATATTAATCAATGGTAAAAATAACTTATTGATCGGATATTGAACTGGAATCAATTCAATTTAAAGAACTTTCAGCTGATTTGATTCATTGAAGAGAAAATATTGTGATTTCCACTGGATCAATATTAATAACAGTAAAGTTTGCTGCTGGTCACAAACAGTGAATGTTCCATAAAGACGAATGGAGCCTCATCAGCTGCAGCTGTTCAATCTGCTTTTTGTTTCTGCTTTCATTGATTATCAGGAAAATATTGAAAAGTTCTGGATCTTTTCTAGGATCTGATGAGGAAACAGAGGAAATATTTTACCAACCAGAATCTAAATATGGTGGGAAACCAGCTGATGAATTTAGTTAGATAACTAGTAATAGTTAACATGACCTTTGACCCTCAGACTGTTTGACTTCAGTTTGTTTGTTTGTTCTCAATATGAACATCATAAAATATGGAAAGATCTGAAAGACACATCAAGTCCAGATTATAGAAATTCAAGATAAAATCATAGTTATGATCAATTATGATCAATTATGGTCAATTATAATCAATTATAATCAATTATGATCAATTATAATCAGTTATAATCAGTTATGATCAGATTCTGACTCTGACAAACTAAATGATCCAAAATGGATTTACCCTGGAGGAGTGAAGATCCTCCCAGTTTAAACCGTCTTTAATGTTGTGATGGACCAGCGCACAGACGACCAGAACCAGAACTTAACTGGTTAGACTGGAGAAAAGACTTTGGATTCATTTCTGCTGGACCTCCAGGTTTGACCAGCTGCTGTTCTGGTCACAGATTGAAGATGGAGGCTCAGATGTTGGAGGAGTTTAGAATACTGAAGCCAAAATCAGTCAATCAATCACATTGATTGGAGGCAAAACCAGCTTTTACCACTGCAGGTCAACTGGGAAAGAACCAGTTAATCCCAATCCCAGTCCAGAAGATCCCAGAGGAAACCAGAACCATGTTCTAATCTCTGCAGACCTCATGACCTCATGAGGTCATGAGGTGACCTCAGTAAAGGTTAAAGGTTTACTCAGCTGTATGGCAGGCAGACAGACTGCCTCCATCAGGGAGGTCAAAGGTCACTGGAGAACCAACAGAACACAGAGACCCGTTTCACTGATAGCAAAACATCCCAAAGAGATCTGAGAAAATGTTCTGATGAGACAGGATGGATCTTTCTACAACAAGTTGGATCTAAAACCAAAATATCGTTTCAGGATCTTCAGATTCACTCTGAGACGTTTCTCTGAATCGAACAGAAGCTTCACCACACAGACCTGCGAACCAATCAGCATCAGAGTTCAACTGTGACTCATATCCAGCAGTCGGTCCGTTTCTCATACTGGGATGAGAAAAAAATGGAACCGACACCAATCATGTCATAAAGACCAGAAGTTACAGATTCAAACGTCTCCCTGAGACATGTTGGATCAGCTGCTGATCCAACATGGCTGCTGATCCAACATGGCTGCTGATCCAACATGGCTGCTGGTTGGTTCTGTCTGGTTTCAGGTCAAAACGCTGCATGTTGCAGTAAAACACTGAAACTGTGATGCTGGAACTGAGAGTCGTTCTGCAGCCATGAGGTAAAAACTGAGGTTACAAAAACCCAGTGACCTTTCCTGATCTTTAGAGTCATTAATGTTCATTATGTCAGGAATTTGACCATCATTTTCATCAACATGAAATGAATTATTTCTGCACATTTTACAGCTCCAGATGCTGGTTGTGACCAGTTAGACCAGTTAGAACTGGGAGGGATTATGGGTAATGCCCAGGGGTCAAAGGGCACAGGGCCCCTAAAGCCTGGAGGCCAAAGTGTCCCTCACACTGGATCAGTTCATCTTTTTGTCCATTTGTATTAAATTCAGCAGAATCTATAATTTAGATCTATTTTTAAATGTTGTGGAGTTTTAAACAAAGTTTGGATGAAACTAAAGTATTTATAGCGATCGGGGCACTCAGGGCCTTCAGGGCCCTCAGGGGCCTCAGGGGCCAAACACTCTGCAGTTAAAGGTTTATTTTATATAATATTATGTAAAATGTTCAACACACAGAATCTCTGATGGAGGAAAAACGTTCAGTGGTTATAGAAACACTGCATGAGACAGAAAATAAACCCAAATTTATAAACTGTTAACGTTAAACCAGTTTCAGTAACTAGTTGACTTTATAAACTGTTAACATTAAACCAAGTTCAGTGACTAGTTAACTTTATAAACTGTTAACATTAAACCAGGTTCAGTGACTAGTTAACCTTACAAACTGTTAACATTAAACCAGGTTCAGTAACTAGTTAACTTTATAAACTGTTAATATTAAACCAGGTCCAGTGACTAGTTAACTTTACAAACTGTTAACATTAAACAGGTTCAGTAACTAGTTGACTTTATAAACTGTTAACATTAAACCAGGTTCAGTGACTAGTTAACTTTACAAACTGTTAACATTAAACCAGTTTCAGTGACTAGTTAACTTTATAAACTGTTATCATTAAACCAGGTTCAGTGACTAGTTTAACTTTACAAAGTGTTAACATTAAACCAGGTTCAGTGACTAGTTAACTTTACAAACTGTTAACATTGAACCA